ATAAATAATATTCTTTTCGTTCATCGAATTTAATTAATTTTTGTAATTGTAATTTTTAATAATTATTTAATTTTAAATTTAAATTTCATATTTATTTTTATTAATTGTTTTTGATAAATAATATTCTTTTTGTTCATCGAATTTAATTAATTTTTGTAGTTTTTGATAAATAATATTCTTTTCGTTCATCGAATTTCATTAATTTTTGTAATTGCAATTTTGAATAATTCTTTAAATTTTAATGTTAATTTTATTACTTATTATCTTATTTTGATATTAAGGAAAAAAGTTGACATTATTGAGAATAGGGTAAAACATTTCACAGTATTAATTATTTTAATTACTATGAATCTGCGTGTTGCGTATTGTAGTTACAATTTCGTTCGCTTAATTTTCTGTTATTATACTTATTCTATTATCTCTTGTACAATGTTCTAACACTTTGAATTTTTACAGGGATGGATTATCATATCGACGCAAAGTTGAGACAGATGCCCAGCAAAGTTACGTGGAATAGTAGCTTTGACAGTTTCACTGTGGTGTTAGAGCTGCTTGATGATCAGTATGCTGATATGCTTCAGTCCTTCCTGTGGCCCTTATACTCGTTGAGAGATCTGTAGTAATCGGGTCAGATTATTGATGCACTTCTATATTGATTGCTGAGTTCAATTGACGGCGATGCCCTCTACTTCACAATCGGGGGCAAAGTTGCCAGTTTTTCGATATTCGAGTTTTCCCTGATCACGGGATTAAAGATTACGGGCGATGACGCAACTGGTGACAGGACTCAGAGAAGAAATAGACTGCATGACACTTACTTTCAGGGACAGGGGAGTGTGCTTCTACCACAACTGATCGATGCAATTAAGAGGTGTGACCAGATGTTAGACAGATTGAAGTTAGGTATGGTCTACATCGTTGAGAGTGTGTTACGGTGTCACCACAAGAAGACTGCGATCGACCCCTTCTATCTGGAGATTGTTGATGATATTGATCGTTTTAACGACTATCCGTGGGGCCGGAGATACTTTGAGGATACCGTACACGTTTTCACCCGATCGCACTCGAAGCCCAAGGGGGTCATGCGCAAGTACGACACTTATAGATTTCCCCTGGCGATGCAGGTACATGATTAACATAATCAATGTTAAATTATTTTTCCTATTGAATTTGTATATAATAATTGTATGTGTTACAGATTTGGGTGTACGAGACCGTCCCTCTATTGGATACTCGCTTTGCGAGGTGAGGGGAGATATGTTGCCCTCGGATGCACCATTGGAGAGCATCTCGAGCGGAGGGATGTCCCACTGGGAGAGAGTTATTGGCTCTCCTCGATGACCCTCAGATGAGTATTATGTATTTGTGGTTTATATTGTACGAAATTTAAAATTTGATTACATGATCATTAACTAATTCAAATGTCAATATGTCAGCTTGAACTTATATCTGAGTTGACGACGTCGATGGAGGAGGAGGCTCAGGGTTGTGTGCGTGAATTCGGCCTTCCGCGCACCCAAGACGACCAGATGTCCGATTCAATGGACGATCGAGATTGGATGAGTGAATTGAATATAATTTATTAGTTACCATTTTGTAAGAGTTAGTAATTACGGATCAAGTTAATAATTCGTAATATTGTTGTTTGTGTAGGAGCGTGGTCCAGTTGATCTACAACCTCCGCCCCCAATGGCATCGCCTCTGTCCCAGAGGACATTGCCTCCGCTGCAGAGGGCATCACCTCTGCCCCCACGGGCATCACCTTCGCCGCGGAGGGCATTACCTCCGCGTCAGAGGACATCACCTCCGGCGACCCTGTCCAGGGACCTCCCCCGTGGATCTCTCGTACATAGTTAGAGTTTTGATGATCTGTATGCCCGTTTGAGTGGATTTATAGCGGAGCAGGTTAATGGGTCGTGTCGAGAGATGACAGATAGGGTCGACGATCTGGTAAGAAGGGTCCAAGAATTGTCCGCTGATGTTAGAGTGCTTCAGGATGAGATCGAAGCACTTTGAGGTAATATAACCGACAGGCGATGGGTTGACGGAGGTGGTGATTGGGGGTGATAGAGATGGGGGTGATCGAGAGGGTGATAGAGATGAGGGTCACCGGCAGTTGTGGTCCAATGATGCATTGGAATCTTTTCTATTATCCGTGGAGCGGGAGGGGATGGGAGGGATGGTAGAGAAGGTGGCGATCCCTGGAACTGAGGAGGTGGCGAGCCCCGAGGTGGAAGAGGTGGCGATAGCGGGGGTGGAGGAGGTGACGGTAGCCGGGGCGGAGAAGTGGGCAAACCTCGAGATGGAGGAGGTGGTGAGCCCCGAGGTGAAGGAGGTGACGGTAGCTAGGGCGGAGAAGGGGGCAAGCCCCGAGATGGAGGAGGTGGCGAGCCCCGAGGTGGAGGAGGTGACGATAGCCAGGGTGGAGGAGGTAACTGAGGCAAACAAGCGTTCTGTTGACGTGCCGGAGATGGTGGTCGCCAAGAGGCCGAGAGTGCCGTCACAGTACGTCGTCTATCCCTTCACCACTGAGACGAAGAGGAGGAGATTAGTCGACGAGATATACCCCAATATGTACCAGGAGGTCGACCATGCCAAATGGAAAGCATTCGAGGCTCAGTGGCGAGCAATGTTGTCTGGGTAAGTATTTTATAATTTAGTAAAGTACCAGTACTCGTATAAGTTTTTTTTAACATTTTTTTTTCAGCACCACCCGTATGATAGCCGGAAGAACGATATCGGACGCATACAAGTGGTTCCATGATATCACCACTTAGAGGGCTTGGTTCGCCGACGATGTAAGTAAAGTGTTATTGTTACTGTTTGTACACATTACGTTTAAGTTGTTAAATGAAATAATTATTTATTTCTTTTTCGTTTATGTAGCACATCGACATGGCCATAGACTTGTTGCGCGATCGAGTTGAGAGATATCCACAATCATTCTACAATCCTGGCCGAATAATACTGAACACCGAGTTCTTCCGCATCGTTACCATTGAGTATCAGTCTCTCCAGCTTATGGGTAACGATTACGTGCTGGCCGCATATATGCTCGAGTGGGTCATCGGGTTGTCACCGACTGTTGGGAGAAAGCCGTGGGAGGGCTATACGCATATGCGCATTCCAGTGATCGTCAATCATCACTGCATTGCACTGAAAATCGAATTCCCTGAGTCGACGATATATGTATATGATAACGATCATTCATGTCTGACACAGGGGCAGCTCGAGCAAAACATAGAGCCGGTGACTGTGATCGTTCCTATGATGGCTAGACAGGCGAGCTTGACTGTGCACGACAAACTAGCCATCATACAGGATAAGACGACGGGTAGGCAGTTTATATCGTAAGTGTTTGTAATCTTTTTTTAAAATTAAATTGGAATCAAACTAACACAATATTGTTCATTTGTAGGGACGACTGTGACATTTTCACAATCAAGTACATAGAATTTTTAAGTATAGCATATAAGGTTGATGGAATCAACCAATCATGGATACAGAATTGACGGAATAAGTTAGCATGCGACTTATTCGAATTTAATTGTGATCCATAGATTATTTGTAAATATTTTTTTGTAATTAATCTTTGTAAAACTTTTTTGTAATTAATATTTGTAAATATTTTTTTGCAATTAATTTTTGTAAAACTTTTTTGTAATTAATTATTTGTAACTGTTTTTCGTAATTATTTGTGATCTTGAATAAACATTGAACAGTGTAAAAGTAATCGGAAATATTATACATTGAACACGTCAGTCTAATTATCATTTAGGAGAATTTGACTAGTACAAAATTGACGAGTATGCCCTATGGCTCTGCACCTGCCGCACCTACGCGGTCGAGAAAACTCTCCGATAGATGGTATTCTAGATGTACTTGGACGTCTAGGACCACGCGATTCAACTGCTGATGGCAACAAACTATTGAACGGGAGAATATGGTCAGGAACTTCCCACTCGATTTCATTCGATAGAGGAAATATAGTCTCTGCATATGCTGTGTAGTACAAAGAGCATAATGTTCTCGCTGCAAAACCTCAATACATGGCCACTACGACTGCATGCTCACATGGTAAACTCTCCAACTGAAATCTCATACAAGTGCATGTGTTATCAGTCAAATCAACCATGTATGCCGTATTACGTGCACATTGCATAGAGAAGTGAAACTCATTAAGTGCTTCCACATTCAACTTTCTCGTAACATCTGCAGCCTTGAAGAGTTTCTCCTCTTGAGCTGGGGCCAGCACACTAGTGCAACTCTGTGATGCCGCACGTCGGTCATGAAACCACTGTTGCAGCTTGTTATGAATGTTCTCAATCATTGCGAGAATTGGTAACTCTCGATCCTTCTTAAACAATGCATTGAGAGACTCCGCGTTATTCGACGTCATCATATTGTATCGACGTCCTGAAAAGTATGACCACGCCCAATGTCTTATATTCTCCCACGCTGCTAATGATTTACTTCCTATCTCGACCATGAACTAATTACACTCCCCAACACTGTAAGCTTTGGTTGCTCTCCTGAACAATGAAACGATGCCTTTACCCCGATACCTAGCCTTCAAATTGCCTTGTATATGGTACATGCAATATCCGTGATGTGCCTCGAAAAAAACTTCAGCGATACTATTTATTATAGACTGTCCCCGATCAGTTACAAAGACAAGATCTTCGACTTCCCCGATCACTTCCCTCAGTTTAGAAAAGAACCAACGCATTGACAGATCATTCTCGTTGTCGACTATGCCAAATGCAAGAGGGTAAATTTGGATGTTGGCGTCTTGACATGTAGCAATAATCAACTTGCCTTGATATCTAGCTTTCAGAGTTGTACCATCGGCTAGAATTACAGGTCGCATTGCATTTCGAAAACCCCGAATACATTTTTCGAGAGCCATGAAGAAATACTTAAAACAATCACTGCTCCCTGTCTCAATAAAAAATGCCGAGCCAGGATTAGTTCTCACCATGTTATGGCAATATCTGCCCAATTTAGCATAACTCTCCTCGGCTAATCCCATTAAATCCTCAAACGCACATTTTTTGGCCTTCCAGGTCTTCTGGTAGCTCATGATCACTTCATACTCTTGACGGACGTCATTAATGATGTCCAAAGGTCAGTAGATTGTCCTGAATCTTGATACTTGTGCATTATCTGTCGACCAATAAAGCATGCTCGAGCTTGCCTGTATCATTTCGACCAATTCTCACTTCGCAAGTATGTTCTTGTGCATATTTGCGAACTACAAAGCATTCATTCGTATCCATCTTAGTTGCTCTCAAGCGCCAATTGCAATTGTTGTCAACGCAGGCAACTGTCAACAATGACTTGGTTGATTTCTTTACCTTGAACTCAAAATTATATTTTAATGCCATCCGGTATACAGCTTCCTGCAAATCTTTCTTAATTTCAAATAGTTGCACGACATACAAATCCTCATCATCGGGATCACACGCGAAGAATTGGAGAACGGTCCACTTGTTCCATCCTCTGAGCTCTCACCCCGTTCAGGTCTCTGTTGGGATAAAGCAATTAAATTTTCATTTGTAAAATCATTTATATTTTCATTGTTCTCAACTATCGACAGAATTATGTGCGTAATAATGACTTCACGATTAGTAGCAATTGTCTCGTAAATAACCACATCATCTGCAGGAACTATCTCTACCGTCTCCCAAAAATCTCGATCATTATTATCCGCTCCATTTAAATCTTCGCGTTCACCTTCGACAACATCCTTTTTAACTAAAGTCACGCCAAGAACAGTCGGAGTCATATGCATTTTATTCAATTCTAATAGATAATTCAATTCAGCATCATTAGTAACAAATATAGATGGCATCGGAATAGACGAATCCCCATAACCATTGAATAAATATCTCAGTTGTATATCGTACTGAGAAAAATCGACATTCAGTTTATTTTGCAAATCCTGGTACACTTCTGCATATGATGTACTCTCAGTTACAGAAATTGCAATACAACCACATACATCACTCGTCCATCTTCATTCTCATCTATTATTTTCATTCAGTTCAAAATCACCGAAATAACAGACCGGGATTATCATATCTGCATGACGATATAGAAATTTTAAATCAATTATAACAACAAAAATTCATATATTTATTTATTTAATCAATTTGTAATTAAAATTATAAGACAATTGTCAAAACAAAAATTAATAATAAAAAAAATTCATAAAATAGTTGAGAAAAACAGTCGACTGTGAACTATTTTACAACCGACAGTCGACTGTTTAAAACAGACAGAAAAATTCGTTAAAGAGTCGGACAAAATAGCCTACTGTGGACTGTTTTATAGCCGACAATCGACTGTTTAAAGCCGACGGTCGACTTAAACAGCCGACTGTCTAACAAGCGTCGGTCGATTGTTAGACAGTTTTATGACAGTCGGCTATCTAACAGTCTTCGTTAACAACCCACAGTTGATTACCGAACTATTTATTTTACGTACGACTTTATTTTTCTATGGTTCTAAAGAAAAATAATTATAGATTTATTAAAAAAAATTCTATTAACTACTGTGTTATTTAACTATTCAAACGTACACTATTTTACTGAAATTGAAATTAAGCATATGTAAATAAACTTACCGATTTGAAGTAATTGATCTGAAAAAATTCTATATCGACGTTTGAAAGTTTTTTGATATTTTGATGTTCAAGCAGATGAAAAATGAGAGTTTTTCTGTGTTCGAAGCTCGTTCTGCAGTTTTATAAGTAGGGAAGTGTTTGATTTTCAATTATTAACTAAAAGTGTAATAATATCTTTTAAACTATCCAATATTTTGTAATTATATAATATATTTAAGAGCATCTCTGTCTTTTAATATTCAAGAGGTTAATGTGATAATTTTCAAGTTTTTAAAAGTCAAAGTAAAAATAAGAACATTTAACTAGATCAATTTTAAAAGTACCCCTTAAAGGTTACAGACCAATTTTATTGGAATACAAGATCAAGGACAAATAGTCCAATGTTTTCCATTCTAATGTTGAAAGGCTCTGATCCTTTTCTTCTTAAGAAAAGAACATCGAGCCAGCTCGAGAGACAATGCCAGAACCCATTATTTGGAATTTATATTCAAATTCTCTGTGCAATTTCTAGACATCATCTAACAAACGATTAAGTGAATCACATGTTTTTGATTGTTACGTGAGAGAAATGTCTTTCTAACCAACATTGACACGACACATCAATTAATTGGTGAATCCTTTTACTTTCAAGGCCTATAATGAACTTATAATCAATTAATTAATGTGTCGTGTTACTACTGATTGGTAGAACAATTATTTGTAAAATAAATTCATTAACTATGAAATAAATTATCTATTTCGGCAGGCAAGTGTGCACACACAGGTTTCATTCAAAAATGCTAGCAGCTTACGAGAGGACAATCACTAAATCCAGCTATACGGTCAGATAAAATCATGGTAAACTACAAAATGGCTCCTTTGGATGAAGATGTAGGCTAAATGTTTGTCAATTTAAGCTGAAGAGTACCAGAAAAAGAAAGAAAAGGATGAATCAATATGTGAGTGTTTGTCAGGGCCCTCGCGAATTACCAGCTTCGCTCCACCAAAAGCTAACTGAAAAGCTCATAGTCAGAGACCGCACATAGTGCCACCATTTGGGAGGGATGTAAAGCATTTCGCCTTCCTCTAATATGCAGTCGACAAAATCCAGATCCAACACTTTAGGAAATTCTTTCTCGTCTATATTATCTAGGTCAACCTTCAAACAAATTTTTAGCTCTTTAAGACAAATGAAAATGGCAATGGGCAAATAAGAAGAAAATATATCGAGAAACTGACTAAAACAGCAACAAATGATTGAAGCTCAATTAGTTACTCTAACCCGTGCCTATGTATTTACTGATAAGATATGGGATATACATCTCCAATGAATGGGATTATGCATGACTTCACTGAGGGGGATTCTATTTCATACATAAGAAAAAGATATTAAATATTTTGCGGAAAAACTAGATGATAAACTCCTCAAGACATTGTTACTATCATGCACAAAACTTCTAGCTTTAGTCCCTTTCTTTCTACATGACATACACCAATAGTAACACAAAATCTGTTGGAAATAAGGCTTGAATTGTTGTTGCTGCGTGACATGCACCAACAAATATTGCAAACAATTTTACCTTAACCGAGACTCTAAAAGCTAATGCACAAGTTATTTCGCCTACAACTACATCTCTAATTGCACTCAATACAGATTCAGAAGAACTTTCTCCATCATAAAATACATATTTACAAGACCGGATAAAATATATTCCTAGAGCTCTACATTAATGAACCAAAAAGGTGGAAATACATCAAAAGTAGATTGTCAAACAGAGTATAGACAAAAATAGGAACAGTTACTAAGCAAACATAAAGCAATATAAGACTAAACAAAAACAAGCATCAATGTCATTCACTGCAGTTTCAGACATCGTTTTGGTACATAACTAATGGAAGATAGAAGCATAGGTACCTGGCTGGAATTGCCAAGCATGGATTCTGTGTGCGGGTAAAGGTCATCTGACAATGAAGCAGAGTAAAGTCTAATATACTTTTTGCCAACCACCTGAAGATAAAAACGTAAACCTGCTATTACAAACATATTGAGTAACACAAAAAGAAATTGACACGCACTAAGCAGCGTGACTGTAGTTAACTTCCCCATCCTGTCTCATAATTAATGGGCATGTCAAAATCATGGTATGTATGATTTATCATTATATTCTTTAAAAACAACATAACCATGCATATTATCCCTCGTACTACTCTCAATCAACAACACCCCTTCCCCCCTCCTCAAGGCACATGAACGAACCACCTCTACTCCACCCAAATCTCCAAACAAATCCTCAGCAACCTTTCCTGCTCCTCCCTCATCCTAAAAAAATACACCATCCTTTGCCCCAAATATTGATAAACACGAGCATAATAGACTATGTAAAATATGTTACTGTTTCAAAGAATTCAAGTTAAAAGGCATTATTATACTTGCTAAATGGACAAACATTCACTAAAAGATTTATCACGTCACAGCCGATAATGGGAGATTTTCAGGGGGTTGTCATTCTTGTTGACAGGTTAAGTTCCCTTTTAATATTGCTGGACTTCTGCCATTGCCAAATCAATAACAGCTTCCTGCCACTTGGAACATTTAACATAATCATGCCAATTATCAGAATGAGCATTTAGTTGTTATTTATTCATTTATTTTAACTTCAAGAGTGTGACTGAGGCATAATTTTATACTTGTAAATCAATTTCATTCACTGCCTCCACTCACCCATTTACTCACCAAGAAATTACCAGTCTAAAAGACCAAGCAATGGAGAGCAATCTGGGCCCATCAAAACACAAGTGGGTAATCTAACATTTGGCTCTATATACTTCTCAAGGCCCTTTTAAAAACCCATTGTATTCAACACCACCAAGGTGATTAAGCTTACGTTTGGCTCATGTTTATATTATATTTTATAAACACCCAAGTCACTTTTTATTTGCACATTTCAAGACTTTCAAACACTACCCACTTATTCACCACTCATTTTTATATATTTATAATTTAAACCGTTTGTAAACAATTTCCAAACATGACCTGAAGAAGACAAGATATAGGAGCCATAGGAACCAATTATTCTCTCAAAATTCCAAGATATAACTGAAAACTTTATATTGCAAGCATCCTTGGACATTATAAACATAATGTGGTTAGAGAAAGAAATAACAATATGACGTTCCCTTTCAAGCTTAATGAGTATTTTTCAATTCGTTTTTTAAACACAGTAAGTGGATATTCAAGCCAAATACAAAAACCAATTAATTGCGCAACAATGGAGTTAAGCAAGTCTACACTTAAGCAAACTCAGGTAAGGAAGAAGTTAGCTTATTATATTTTTAATCAGTTTTGGGGCTTTTTCAAACACATAAATTAATTGGCAACCCAGTTTCCCCCTTGAATGAAGATCCTGAGAACAGTGAGCTGCAGCTTCACAAAACCCTATGATGAAAAAAGTTTCCGCATTTTGGAGATGAACAGGTGACTTCATAAAGAATTACTTGACCTGGAAAGGCAGTAAGGTTTAAGCGACAAAAGATGAGGATGACCTGATAAAGGAACAGCCTTGGTTATATCCAAGCAGAGTCCTATATTCATCATCATCTTCTTTTCCAGTAATCTTTGCAGCATTAAGAATTACATCTTCCATACCTGAGAAAGTATATTGTGGTGCGGATCATTATGCAATGGTGTAACCGTCCCAGCTGGACCAAACCAAGCGTTAATAGACCTTATCTCGCCATCCCCAGCAAAACAGTAGTCAGGTATGAGAATATCCTGCCTTAGTTCTAGTATCTGCCAATTAATAAACAGTCAAAATAGAAAAGCTATTACATGTCCAAATGTCAATGTTAGGATTCCAAAAGTAGCTTCTGATTTCAATGGATAAGTGCATGCCTGATCAAATAATTGGTGCTGAGCTAAATATGTAGTATTTTCAGAAGAGCATTCACTGGAAGAAATCCTCTCAAGAAACTCAGAAAAAGTAATCAATTCCTGCTTCCAATCAGAGCATAGATAGTTTTTGCCAACCTGAAAAATATGTATGAATGTTATGTTTCATCATTACAATAGAGGAAAGTAATTGGTGGGAGATGAAGTTATAGAGGATTGCTTTCATGGCAATCCTCAGATATTAGTTCCTTTTTTGTTAGAGAATTTAGCACCATATTCAGTACTGCATGATAATTAAACTTGTTAAGAAATCAAGTAAAAGTTCATAAAATGGACTCTCAAAACATCAAATTTGGACACAGGCGAATTCCATTCAAGTTTCCATGCAAGATGAAAGGAAATTCAAAAAGTGACCAACTATTGAAGATCAATCACCTCAACTGGAACTGTGCGAAAACCTGCAATCCTTTTAAGATAGTTCATATCATTCCACTTATTCTTAGCAGGCCAATGCACCATACAATCACTAATTATCACTGGAGTACCACAGAGGAAATGGTCTCGCAAGAATCCTTCCAATGATATACCGGACTTTCTCTCAACTTTCTTACAAGATAATGACCTCGAAGGTAATAATTGCAGCACCTGCAAATTCAAATCAAAATTGAAAGAAAGTAATCAATTATCAGTCCACTTGGAACATATAATATTTATAAAATAGCAGACATCCCAGCACTTGTGATAATAAAAATATAATGCACTATGAACAGTATATTTCTAAAGGAAAAGAAGGAAGGAAGGTGGTTTTAACAAGAAGCTAAAGAATGCTACTTTGCAAAAACGTGGCGTAGCAACAACTATTCAGTGTGCCCTTAGCTCTGATAAACTTCTAAGTAGGCATCAAGGCCTATCTACAAATATTGAATAAGCATCGAACTTCTCTAAATTGAAGCCTACTGTTTATCAAAAAATCGAGGGAAATACCTAACTCAGAGTAGCTGTTTGATTAAATCTGTACAGATACTAAAGTCGTTTGATTAAATTCTAAACAGATACAGAGTGAACCCGTTAGTATTCTCCATATTAATTTCCATATTCATACATTAAAGCAAACATAAACAAAAAGATTTATAATGCAAGCTTTACCACTTGACCCATGATCTGGTTCATTCATTTTCTAAACAAACGAAAAGAAGAAATTAAAAAAGGGCCATCACCAAATCAAGCACACGTGTATACCAATAAACTGTGTAATAACGAGAAAATAAGCATCCATTATGATTAATTTCCTCAAAGCCTTGTACATCATGCGTTATTAGTTGTAATTTCAATATATAAGATCAAGAAAAGAGATATATAAATAGTATCATTTCTATTCCTCGAATGCAAAACATTAAAAAATTAAAAAATAAAATAAAAATGAACGTATGGATTTCTCATCATTAATTCCGTCCAGAGCCTTGGACTCCATGCTTTATCGGTTGTACTCTCATCATCTCTAAGTTAAGAACAAAATTAAATTTATAGAGAGAGAGAGAGAGAGACGGACCTCACCTCCGGCAAGTTTAAGTGTTGGCTGGAAACAATTTCTTGATCTCCAAATAGCTCACTCTTCTCCTGCCCTTGTTCAGAACTGTTATTATTGTAAGTGCTGGAATTAAAGTCTTCTTCTCTAAGAGCATTGCTAACTTTCTTAATACATGAATTCAAATCATCTCGTAATGTCAATCCACCCATGATGAGCCCCATATCGAGTGCTTTGAGAGAAAGCTTAAATTCACCGGAGGAGAAATGGTTTCTGGCCACGTGGAGGCATGCCATAGCATAGGCGTCACGCCAGATGGGGCCCACAGAGTGCCATGGACCGGAATGAAGCTGCTCCCACGCCATCTCCTTGGCGACCTCCGCCGCGCGAGTATCACCTCCGGCTGCCAGAGTAGCCATGGAAGCGAAGGCGTAGCCACCCTCGTCCGTTATGTTTTGCAAAAGAGTGGAATATGAGGAGTCCATTACTGGGGTCTCGAGTGTTTTGACTGTGGCGGCGGCGGACATTGTTGTGCTCGGAATTGGTTTTCTCTAGAAAGTTCAGTCCCTAGAGAGAGAGAGAGAGAGATTGGAGATATTTTTCGTTGCCTTTTTTGAGCCATTTTATGCGTGAGTGGAATAAAAATATCTATCGAAAGATCGAGGGTCTGGGATATTTCTTTACTTGCAAATGAAGCAAATTAAAAACAGAAATAGAATTAACCATATTCGAGAGGGGCAAATATTGCTTTTAAAGAACCATATTATTCATGTTCAATCTTTTCACTTTTATCGGTTTTGATTTTAATCTATATCAAACAGGGTCTTGATAAATTTTATATTTAATAATTGATATAATTAGTCAATTATACAATTTTCAAGTTTTCGAAATGTAAGCTAAACTATTTTTCATAATTTTAACTTTCAACTAGACAAATCTTATTAATAGATATATAAAAACTTCACACATACTTTTGAAATTTCCAATAATACGATAAGTCTTAAAACCATAATTACATAATATAGTCAAAAATTAAGGCCGAAAAATGACTCGTTCTTGAAAAAGAGAGAACTATAGAACCCTCGAGTCCAAGCTCGAAGTAGGGGATTTTTCCATAACTTAAATATTATATAAATTTTTTATCAGATAAAGTCAGTTTTTACTTTTGTACAGATAAAATTATTTAAAAAATTTGAAACTAAAGTCAAATAAAAGTCTTTAAAAAAGAAAAAAAAATTAATAAACTAAAATCAAATATATATATTTTTTTAAAATAGAAAATTAATAAAGTGCGCCTAAGCATTAAGTAGTAAACTTAGCGTATGACTATCAAATTCACGCTTTCTATTAGTCAAAGTGCTTTGTCTGTGTTTCGCATCTAAACATGCTTTTCAGATCACTAGGTGCAGCTATGTCTGCCCTTGAGCCACCACTTTCTTGCCCTTGTTATTTTATACTCTCCCAAAAAAAGTTTAAAACGGTTTGAACCGATTGAGGAAACAACTTATGTGTCCCATTTTGAGTGATTCCACATCTCGACAGCTCTGGCAAAGGCTTCCACCTGTTGATAATGTTGCAGTCCATCAATGAGAGAATGTTCCAGTGAGCATGCATTGATTTTATCGATTCGCTAGTGTTCTGGTATCTTATAGACACCTGTTGTTGAAACAACCCTGCTTTTGGGACAGGCCCGCCTCTGTTTCCAGCTTTGTTTTTGGGCCCCTCTCAATGACTTTTTTCTTGTTGTAATCAACTTATATATGCACAGTAAAATTTTAAATAATTTTTATTTTTCTTCAAACTCATTTTGTGTTTCGATAAAAATTGTGATTAGAAGATTATTTTTGTCAAATTTCCAAACTTCTTTGTGAACCTTGAACACAATCTACCACAATATCTCCACATTATAATTATTCAGCGTTCAATGATAATCTATACGAAGAAATTAAGAATGAGATATTAGGGTTTCTTTTATTTTCTTGTGTTAGCAAGGATAGGTTTGAATGCTGTATATTGTCCCTAAAACCTAATTATTTATTAAGAGATGTTTAATTTGACTCGACTCATCCATTAAAAATAAGTTATCACATAAGTTGATTAATCTAATTAATTAATATTGGTTCATTAATAAACAACACAAATGTCCGACACTTGTGAATTAATCAATTCTTAATTTCATTTTTCTAATTTTCACTCTTTTGTTTGACCCGTTAGGATCTCGATCAAGATATCAGACGATGTGAATTATTATTCTAATCTAATCAAGATAAGATAAAGTAAAACCCTCATTTTAATTTATCATTAATTTACCTAAATTAATTAATTCACATTCATTGTCTCAATTGACATCTAACAATGTGGAGTGAATTACTCAAATGTTTATTGAATTTTGCAAAAAGTTTTCACAGGGTCACTGAATTTTAAAAATCATCACATTAATCACTAAACTTTACAAAAGGTTTTCACAGGATCATTGAACTTTACAAAAGATTTTTCAAGGGTCACTAAATTTAGTGACTCTTGGAAAATCTTTTGCAAAGTTCAATGATAAATTTGGTGATTTTTAAAGTTCAGTGACCCGTGAAATGTTTTTTCAAAGTTTAGTGATGAATTAAATGATTTTTAAAATTCAATGATCCCATGAAAACCTTTTCTAAAGTTCAGTGACCATTTGGGTAATTCACTCAACAATGTGTCAATGCAATACATATAACGAAAAATATCATGTGGCATGTCAAAATCAACGTTGCATACGTTCAATCACCGTGTAATAATAATCCGTTTGTCAATATGACTAAATCAATTATGAGATATGAAGAAATGTCAATTTTGATTAATGGATCATATTTTTTTGTCATGCTCTTAAATTAATTATTACCGAAATCTTTTTGACCGATGAAGTCTACTTGTCAAAGATTTCGATGTCAACTTAAGCGAATGAAATGTATTTTATAATTTCTTATCATCTAAAAGTAATGAATCATCAATTAATCATTCACAATCTTCATATGATTTTTGTCATATCCAATGACGTACTATTAGCTACTCTGACAAAGCAACATCCAATCACCTCAGTATGATGTTTCTCATATAAGGAAATATGACAACCTCAAGTCAAATGGTCAATTTCACTATTGAACGTTAGAGATTAATATTGACGCTAAGGCTTGAGTCTATGGATTCTATTAATTTATTTTGTCGAAATAATAATTTAATAGAAATAATAGATATGTCAAAACTAAAATGTATCAATTAAAGTATATACTTTATAAAGTCGTAGGGCGTATTACTTACACATTGTCCATGAATCCACCAAACTTTAAACACCATTGCCATTGTTTCCCAACAAAATCAAACGAAGAATTGGCATCATCAAAATTTGCTAATAATTGAGACAAATCTCAAAGTTTTACATGAAACAAACAAATGGCGTTAATTAACTCTAATTTTAATTTTAAAAGGGAGAAAAAAACCGCAACCCTAACTCTAATTTTTAATAAAATTTAAAAAAGTATTCTCCCTATCTCTAATTTTTAATAAAATTTAAAAGCAATCACTAAATTGTTATCCAAAACGAAAGAAAAAGGATATAATCACTTAGGCTTAAGTCCAAATGGATCTATCCATAACTTCTTTTTCATTTTTTTTAATACTAGTGTTTTGCGTGGGTAGTCGTTAACAATTAAAAAGGGATCAGATGATTGTGTAAGGAACAAACCTCTTGAGACAAAGTCCCAAAAAGGGAGTGTTTTATTGACGATGATTTACAATTGGAACTAAACAGAATGCCTCCAAGGGGCGCAAGCACACGAGTATTGAAAGAAATGTTTAAGTTTAAACTAAGAAAATTGAAATTACATATTCTCTATTTGAGAGTGTTTGATTTGGGGTCTTTTCTCTCTATATCTTCTCTTCCTTTTATATTCCCTCGATGATTCCTTTGTGACAAACCACTTGAAAATTGCTTGATTGCTTCATAACCACCCACTTTCTTTATGGTGGCTAACTTGTCGTGGAATTGCCGTCTTTAACTGCTGCCACTACTCTTTGTCGTTCAACCGCCTTTAACTGGGTTCCTTGAATCGTGGAATGTGATAATATTGCTCAATAACTGCTTTAATAACTGCATTCCTGGATAACCATAACATTTTATATTTGCTAAGATCCTGGGCGATTCGAAAGTATGGGCGAGAACATGGTCATCGCTCTGGGCGACTGTAAGGCACTCCATTCGCTCAGATCTTGGGCGTCTTGCAAGTTTGGGCGATGATTTTACTGTGTTCGTGGGCTTCCACTGCATTTATTAATAACCCTGTATGGGCCTTTATCCTGAATTACCCAATTGGGCTTCATTCTTTGGGCTATTTGATTTGGGAATTCCTCAATCGGACTTCATTCCTTGGGCCATTCGATTTGGACTACACTTTTAGTGTGTCAACAATTATCCCCCAATATGACAGAATTAATACTAATTATTAATCTTTGCCATATTTATTTTGTGTTTTCCCGCAACATTTGAAATTCCCAAAAATTTCAATCATTACTTCCTTTCATAGCCTGAAAAGGTGCGACATTGCAAACCCTTATAAACTCCAAAGACACGCCATTTCATCGGACCATTAAATCACGTCTCATTATTTCACGTTTCTTTCTCGTAATATTACTATTCATCTTTTTGCTTCCCTATTACGTTTCTCAAGCAAACTTTAACAAAACTATATTTCGTTCCCAATGACGGCTCCACAAACTCAATCTGATGACTCTTTTAGCTTCGAAGACTTTCAGAAAATCCTTACTCAGCCATATGTAAATCCAAACTTTCTTGCACCAGCCAATGTCGAACTCAATGAGTTCTATCTGGGTCCATCATTCAACAGCGTCGAAGCCGTCGATCAAGTGGCGGTGGGCTAGCTGTTCCCTTGCACTCAAGGCCTCCGTTCCTGAACTCTTTGCCGTTGAGGCCGATTCACGAAAAAGGTATTCGCACTTGGCCTAAATCTGATGTTATTTTCCGTAGGTGGCATGCTCGCCTTGTGGGCCATGGTCCTACCAAGGCAATTTTTGATCGTGCTAGGATTTCTGATTTATTAGAAATCGCTCTTCAACCTCCAATTTTTGACCCAGTGCTTTTTCTTATTATTTTAAGTTTTTGGTCTTCTGAATATAGTACTTTTATTTTCCCTCTTGGTCCCATGTCTATCACTTTAAGGGATATTGGGGCCCTAGTAAATCTTCCACCTTTGGGCAATACCATTTTCCCTGGTATTTTGATTTTCAGTGTCGCCCCAAAATTTGACAAGAAACTCACTGAGTCCTACTCAAGCCTACAAAGCTCTTATAATGACTCAAGTGCTGAACCCTCCCATGCTGAGCGTGTAGCCTTCCTTCAAATTTGACTTTGTAAATATATTCTTTGTGTGCCAAGTATGAAGCCTTCCATGAGTTACTTACCCATAGCGCATGAATTGGCGCGTGATAGGCCTTTGAATTTGTGTTCCTTCTTTTTGACTGCCCTTTATAGAGGCATGGCTTTTCTTCAATTTCAATTGAAGAATAGTGCATCTCCCACTGGCAGTGAGCGTCTTTGGTTCACTCAACTGTGGTTGAGAGCATGTT